AGCCTCACCACCAAATTTCAAATTTGAATATGAAACACGAGAAAATAAAAGGGGGGGGGGGGGCATAGCAGCAGTTTTTAAAGATCGTATTGTCTCCCATAGAGTGTCTCTTGGGAAATTTTCATCATTTGAGTATGTTTCTTTTAAAATAGAACAAAAGAAATCTTCTTCCATTCTTATTATTGTTGTGTACAAGCCGCCACAGTCATGCCATAGTTTCACTGATCATTTCACTGAGTTGCTTTCAGTTGTGTGCACAGATTTTGATGGTTTAGTCATTATAGGCGATTTTAATATTCATGTGGATAATGTTAATGACAGATACGCAAAAGAGCTGAGTTCCATACTTGAATCCTTTGGCCTCACTCAGCATGTGAGTGGCCCCACCCATAGCAGAGGACACACCCTGGACCTACTTATCACGAAAGGGGTGAATATTTCAAAAGTTAATGTAGTTGATGTTGCTCTGTCGGATCATTTCTGTGCATTTTTTAACATGTATTTTGCTACCAGACCACCCGCTAAATATGAAATTGTTAGAAGTAGACACTTAAATGAAAACACGGGTGAACTATTTATGGGAATGATCCATTTTGAGAACACATCATGTTCTACTGTAGATGAACTGTTTAACTCTGTCACCTCTAGTGTGTTGAATGTTCTGGACGCCATTGCCCCTGTGAAGGTAAAAATGGTCACAAATAAGCAAAAAGCCCCATGGATAAAAGCAGGCCCGGTCAGGGCACAGAAGCAAGAGTGCCGGAGAGCAGAGAGAAAGTGGAGAAAGTCCAACCTCCAGGGTGATTATAAACTCTTAAAAGAGAAGTTGTGTGAGTTTAACAGAGTACTACGTAGAACAAGAGAATTATACTTTTCTGAAACTATTGAAGGCTGCAGCAATAATCTGCGTGTTCTATTTTCAACAATCAATAGAATAGAGGCCTACGTGACCCTGTCGTATGTCAGACCTGTACTCATAGACGTCGGAACTAGGGGTGCGGGGGGTGCGGCCGCACCCCCTCCGCGTGTGCCGGGAGCGAGAAGTTATTACTATCCTGCGTTCCTTGCAGCCCAAAACCCGCTCCATGCTGTCGGAGAAGCTTATGAAGCTCTGTCTGGCTAATATCTGTCGCAGCCTCTGAGCGCTCTTTCTCAGCCTTGCGCAGATTAGAGACCTGGCTACACCAGTGACGTGCGGTGGGGGATCAATCATGTGTTCATATGATTATACATCATATAAACCAACAGGACCTACAGGAACAGGAGCGGCTTATACACAATTTGTTTGGCTACAGCAGAATATGATTTAATGTCTGCATTGTTTTCTCATACAAAACGCAAACGTTTGTAAAAAGTACAAAGTGTGTTATGGGCCTTACCTTAGGTATTAATGAACAGCACAGACCACTTCAGTTAGGACCAGTTTCATGTTTAAGTCCAGATAATAGTTTGAGCACAGACATGTAATCCTCCATTTGGAAATAAGTTCAATGAGTTTTAAAAAGTAAAAAAAACGGGTGTCTCCTCCCGTCACTGGGCTACACAACACAATGAAGCCACCGGAGAGACTGACGCATGAATGCGTATTGAAAAAAAAAAAGTTCAGTTTGATAAGTGACTCGCTTGATATATATTGTTTATTTTGTTTTTCTTAACAATTAAGATGGTATGTTATTATCCAGTGTAATCCAAGTATGAGTCTCTCCCTCGACTCTCCCAACAAAAACCCGCCCCCCCTCTCAGAAAATAGTTCCGACGTCCATGCCTGTACTTCACCTGTTCAACAATCGTCTCATGGCATCTGAAGAAGGGGATAGTGAGCTGTGTAAGTCCATCAAGACCAAAGTTGTGGATTACCTCAATAACAAATATGCAGACCCAACTACCAGTGACCTGTTGGATATAGCCTCTCTTCTAGATCCAAGATTCAGGGCCAAATACATCTCATGTGACCATGACCACATGGAACGCAGAGTTATTTTGGAGACTCAGTCTTTGCTGCATGAATGTGTGCGCGAGCTGAATGACCCAACAGAACAAGAAGGAGCAGCTGTGGCAGTGCCACCTAATCCAAAAAGAAAGAAATCACTCGCAAGCTTCTTTAAAGAGAGTCCTGGCACTGGTAGTGCCACCGGCACCAAACTCACACCGAGAGAGACAATAGAACATGAACTGTCAACCTATCTGCAGTCAATCTGCATAGAGAGTGATGCTGACCCACTCAAATGGTGGAAGGACCATGAGGTTGCTTTTCCAGCACTGAGCCGCCTGGCCAACAAGTACCTTTGTGTGCCAGCCACCAGCTCCCCTTCAGAAAGGGTTTTTAGTTGCAGTGGTAACATTGTAACCTGCCACAGGGCATCCCTGAAGCCTGAAAGTGTAGACAGGCTCATTTTTCTGGCACAAAATCTGTAAGATGTACACTACAGGCCAATACCTCTTGTCTTTCATGTTTTAAGTTTAATGGTTGCTAAATAATTGTTCCAAGAACGTGTTTACATTGAGTTATATTGTTTGATTGTTTACATTTGCACAAAGTACTTGAATTGCATTTAGGAGAAGGAAGCATCCCTCAGTCTCCCTTCATAGATTGAAGCTTTCCTAAAGCAGGCTGACTTGTTATTTTTGTCAGTATCTTTTCTGTTCACATTTTGCACTATACTGTTACACAGTAAAGGAATATTTATTTCTAATTTATTTTGATTTAAAATAATAATAAATGTTTTTTGTTTAATGAAAGCAATTTATGCACATGTTCTGCAGTTGAACATTAATAAAAGTGCCTTTGAGACATTTGTCACCTGTGGTTTTGACCAAGAACATGGCTCATTGGTTTCAATTCACTGGAAGAAAAATATCGAGATATATATCGTATATTGCCATTCAGCCCAAAAATATCGAGATATGACTTTTTGTCCATATCGTGCAGCCCTAGAAGACAGAGAGAGAGACAAGACAGAGGGACCAGAGAGAATGGAGATGAAGACTCATGATCAGAGTCACACCTCAACTCTACTCTGGAATGATTAATCATCTTTTACAACTTTCTGTTTGAGTTCAGAGGAATTACAGTCTGTTCTAGCTTCACTTTCATTTCTGTAGGAGTCCACATCAGCTCTTCCTGTTACATCAGAAACATGAACCCAAAGCAACAGATAGTGACTCTAAGGGGACGTCATGACGTCATGTCTCTATCGTTCAACATATAAGTCACATATACATACCAGAGAGAGATCAAAGAGAAACCAGAGAGGTCACAGATCAAGACAAAGACGTATCCAGGTGTTAAGAAGACATCAATGCACCAATGCACTTTACTCCCAACTCCCAGTTCCCATTCCCTAAAATCTGGATAGAACTTTTTCACAATGACAACACAGACTTTCACTTTCAAAAGCAGATATAAAAATCTCAATATCACAGGGGCAACAACACTACCTGGCGCTCAATCCTTAGAATTTCTGTGCATTGACCTGTCGTGAAACTGAAGGCTACCAGCTAGCACACAGTAATACATTAGTCCTGGCTGCCCTGAGCAGTTTCCCTCGGGGCAGCTGTGGCTCACCACCAGCTCACCACCTGGTGAGCTGCAAATAAATGAAATGCAAATAAATATTATATCAAAAATATTGATGTCTGTACATTCAAATTTTTATGTAAAACTCCAGGACATGCATTTTTCCACATGGAAAAAACATTCGCCAACTTCATCTCTGGTTTTGGTGGGGTTAGGGTTAGCCCACCAGGAGACCTTCTCCACTTGTTCCCACTGATGTCTGTTGTCTTTGTGCCCATGGGCGAGGTTAGCCTGAAGCTAACTGGGATTAAGTTAGCTTTAGGCTAACTGAAATTAGCCTGAAGCTAACTTGGCTGCTCTGTTCTTTCAGGGGGATCTGAAAGAACAGAGCGGCCATCCTGCTGTGGACTCACCACCTGCAGGAGGATCAGTGAGGGGCTGGTGCTAAGTGAATTGGATGGCCGCTGATTGCCACCAGACCTCACTGGACTAACCTTCAAGTTAATCGCAGGTTGAATTTCTTGACTCTTTATAATACACAGTGATTATGTTTCTTTGTTTTGTTCAGCTTTTTGAGCCTTCCACAAAAATCCACAAAACAACATGGCCACAAAAAGTGAGCCGCTTTATAGCGAGGGACTCAGTACACACAGAAATGTAAAATGGAGGCAGAAATGTAAAATGAGATGTAATGAAAGAATGTCTAGAGATAAAGCTTCTTCTGTCTGTGTTGAGAAAAACACACACACACACACACACAAAGGTGTCCTTACACCAGAATCTGTCCAACTGGAACCAGATCAAAACATCTTTCAAATAGGTTTCCAGGGAACTGAACGCAAGCGTCAAAAATGTCACAACCTCCCAAACTGGTCGAGCACCTGTCGGGGAATATATATGTGAGCAGTGTGGCTGCAGTGAACAGACAAAACTGAAGACCCGGAAAGATGAAGAAGGCTGCAGTAAACAAGACGCCCAAGTCTACAGCTGGAGTGGGTCCTGCTAAGAAGACTCCAGGACCATCTAAGGCTCCAGGACCATCTAAGACCATCTAAGACTCCAGGACCATCTAAGGCTCCAGGACCATCTAAGGCTCCAGGACCATCTAAGGCTCCAGGACCATCTAAGGCTCCAGGACCATCTAAGGCTCCAGGACCATCTAAGGCTCCAGGACCATCTAAGACTCCAGGACCATCTAAGACTCCAGGACCATCTAAGGCTCCAGGACCATCTAAGGCTCCAGGACCATCTAAGACTCCAGGACCATCTAAGACTCCAGGACCATCTAAGGCTCCAGGACTTGGTCCTAAAGTTACAGCATCTGCTCCAAACACTCCAGGACCTGCTCCAAAGATTACAGGGGGGGCAAGTTCAGCGGCGGCTCCAAAGGCTCCAGGACTGGCCTCAAAGGCTCCAGGGGGGGCGAGTTCAGGGTCAGCCAGTCCAAAACCGGCGCCAAAGACTCCACAGGCTCAAGGAGAGGTTAAAAAGGTTCCAGGGGAGTTGAGACCGGGGAGAGCGAGTCCAGGGAGAGCGGGAGCGAGTCCAGGGAGAGCAAGTCCAGGGAGAGCGAGTCCAGGGGGAGTGTGTCCAGGGAGAGTGAGTCCAGGGGGAGTGTGTCCAGGGAGAGTGAGTCCAGGGGGAGTGTGTCCAGGGGGAGTGAGTCCAGGGAGAGTGAGTCCAGGGGGAGCGAGTCCAGGGAGAGCGAGTCCAGGGAGAGCAAGTCCAGGGAGAGCGAGTCCAGGGGGAGTGTGTCCAGGGAGAGCGAGTCCAGGGAGAGCGAGTCCAGGGAGAGCGAGTCCAGGGAGAGCGAGTCCAGGGAGAGCGAGTCCAGGGAGAGCGAGTCCAGGGAGAGCGAGTCCAGGGAGAGCGAGTCCAGGGAGAGCGAGTCCAGGGAGAGCGAGTCCAGGTGCGCCTTTAAAGGCTCAACACGGGGCTCCAATAGTTCCAGGGCGGACAAGTTCAGAACTTGTGAAAGCTTTAAGAAGACTCAGGAAACAACCCACCAGACCAACCAGCACGCAGATCCAACACATACCCCTCAAGGTCAGGCTAACCTCACAGCTAACCCCTCTTTACTTAGAAGCATTGTTAACCACACTTAACTTTGAGGTAGTGCTTCAGATATGATCTTGTTTTGAGTGTGGTATATAAAAAATAAAAAGTGCACAAAGCTGCTAAAAACATGTGAAAGATGATTGTGTTCTTCAAACACTAAAGACAAAAGGTCTGGAACTGTCCACATAACTGAATAGTGAAACAAGTTTAAAAACAGAATTTTGCTAGAATGGTCGGGGATAACATATTGTAGGTGGGTGTGTGTTTGTCTATAAGTGTGAGTGTGTGTACACTGTATGTGTAGGTATGTGTGTGTAACAATTAAAATGGTTTTCATATACATATACTTGTTTTTTCTGTCACATCTTTCATTTACAAACAACTTCTGTTTTTTGTTCAGTTGAAGAAACAATTACAGGATCTGGTTGAACAGACGTATCAACTTATAATACCTGACGACGGAGACCTCACCTACGTGAGTCTGAAGCCCAGCTCTACTCTACTCTACTCTAGTGTACTCTGCTCTAATTTACTCTACTCTACTCTAAACTACCCTACTTTACTCTAGTGTACACTATTCTGCTCTAGCCTACCCTACTCCATTGTACTGTACTCTAACCTACTCTACCCTAGTGTACTCTACTCTAACCTACTCTCCCTAGTGTACTCTACTCTAACCTACTCTCCCTAGTGTACTCTACTCTAATCTACTCTCCCTAGTGTACTCTACTCTAATCTACTCTCCCTAGTGTACTCTACTCTAATCTACTCTCCCTAGTGTACTCTACTCTAACCTACTCTCCCTAGTGTACTCTTCTATAACTATTCTACAGTGTACTGTACTCTAACCTACTCTCCCTAGTGTACTCTACTTTAGTGTACTCTAGTGTAGTGTTCTGTAGTGCAGAAAGATCTGCGTAACCTCTCCTTCAGAGACACGTCATATTACAGCAGTATCTGAGATCCTCCAGGTTTATTTCTGGTTTAGTCCTGGATTATTCCTGTTTTAATCCTGGATTAGTTCTGGTTTAGTCCTGGTTTAGTTTTGGTTGTTTTTGAGCTTCCTGCTCTGATCGGCTTGTGTCCATGTGATAACTTTACTGCGCTCATGATTAGTTGTTGAGCAAGAACAATTTGCAATCTTCATCTGCTGTTTCTCCGCACCCACTGGCGCCGCTGGACAAACGCGCTTTCTTGTAAACTCACTGCAACGTATGTTCCGGGCGTTTGCCCAATCACACAGCGAGGGTGGATCAGTCTGTCAATGAACCTGCTCTTCATTGCAGAGGGCGACAGTCATGGTCCAGCATAAATGTTTGACCAGGACCCTCCTGTCATCCACCTGCTACACTGTGTCCAGGGGATAACCCAGGACAGAGCTGGACTTCCTGACAACTCAAAAGTACTCTACCCGACCCTACTCATCTCCACTATTCTCTATCCTATATTAAATGTAAAAATTCAAAAGTGAAGAGAGTGTGAAAAGTTGTTTTTTCACACCTTGAACTCACTTCTCCAGAGACCACAGGTGGGTGTGGTCAGCCTGACGGAGTTGCCTGATCTGTCAGACTGGCCACATCAAGTAGCATCACTACTGTACATGACTATGCACTACTACCATGGGCGGCATGGTGGCTGAGTGGATAGCACTCTCGCCTCTCAGCAAGAAGTTCTCCCCGTGTCTGCGTAGGTTTCCTCCGGGTACTAAAAATATGTACAATAGGTCTGGCTATAAATAATAGATTACTACTTACTAACTTACTTACTTACTCCACACTACATTACCCTGATTACCTTTGTCCTAATGTGTGTGGTTCTCTGTCTGAAACAACTTTTGTTTCTTGTTCAGATGATGGACCTCGCAATGGGTCTGTTTGAAGAGTCATTCACAGAATCAGATGACGAAGACACCTCCAACTATGTGAGTCTGAGTAGATGTGATTAGCCCAATCCACACCTCCCCATATGACCACCCAAACTTTGATACTTCCCTGCTTTCCCCATATGACCACCCAAACTTTGATACTTCCCTGCTTTCCCTAGCACCTCTGTAAATCCCAGAATACAGAGGACTTCTGCTACTCCACCACTGACCCCCTCCCCTTAGTAATCATTAAGGATACTTATTAGAAGGCCAGCAAATGTAAGACTAATAAGGAAAATGTAATACTTGTTCCATATAGCAATCAATCGACCACACCCACTGACACTAATGTGAAACTTGCTTAATGCAAGATCTCTTTGTTATAAATCAAAAACTGTATGGCTAAAAATGACAGGAAATGCCTTTTTACTAGAAGCAACACCAGCAAATTTCAAATTTAAATCTGAAAAAAGAGAAAATGCGGGAGGTGAAGCTACAGTTTTTGGAGATCACCAGTGTTGTGCGTGAACGAGTTCAAAAGAACGCGTTCATTGAACACGCTCATTTTTTCGTGAACGTTGAACTGAACGCAACACATTTTTTAAAAAAGAACTTGAACGTGAATTAGTTCATTTTATGTGTCATGAACGGCAGACATCACTTTGAACGTTGGAATCTGTTTTCTCTTTTGAAACGCAACGAGAGAAAGTTCCTCCCTCCTGTATTCTCGCACTTTTTCTGCCGAAATCTAAAAACTCCTACGGTTTCCACTGTCTGTGAACGCACCCCGACTCCGTGTTGCGGTGCGGCGCTGTGAGCTGGTGCTTTTCACATGTGCCCGAGTCGTGATGAAAACACAGGGTGAGTTAGCGACACAGTTTACACCGTTTACATTTGACATAAAGTATAGACACACGCACTAAACTTCTACTACTGTTTAGTTGTTCACTAAACAACTACTAAAATTCTTAAAATCAACAACTCACGTTCCAGTCTGGCTTTAGACCCTACCACAGACTGAGACCGCTCTTGTCAAGGTAACAAACGATATCCGACTGTACACAGACGCGGGCAAAGTCTCAGTATTAATCCTGTTAGATCTGAGTACTGCTTTTGACAGTGTTGACTGTGAGATCCTCCAATTCCTCCCCTCTCCTCTCCCCTGATTACTTTTGTTTATGGTTCACTGTCTGAAACTACTTCTGTTTCTGGTTTATGTAAAGGACCTGGTGGAGGATCAGATTGAAGATGTTGAAACCACAGTTGATGAGACTGAGGAGGAAGACCCCTCCATCAACGTGAGTCTGACCACATGTGATTTACCTGTTTCTACCAGCTCTCCTCTGCTCTCCCCTCCCCTTCTCTCCTTTCCTCCCCTCCCCTTCCCTCTCCTCTCCTCTCCACTCCCCTCTCCCATCTCCTCTCCTCTCTGACCACATGTGATTATCCTGTTTCCACCAGCTCAGTTCTACTCTACTCTACTCTACTCTACTCTACTCTACTCTACTCTACTCTACTCTACTCTACTCTCTACTCTACTCTCTCTCTCCCTCTCCTCCTGTCCCCTCTCCTCTCAACTCGTCTCCTCTACCCTGATTACTTTTGCCGTTTGTTTATGGTTCTCTGTCTGAAACGACTTCTTCTTCATAGTTTACTATGATGGCTTGGTAGAGCATTGGCCTTCAGGCCTGAAGGTCGTGGGTTCAATTCCCACCTTGACACCTTCTCCACCGACTCCCACCGATGACTGCTGCCGTTGTGTCCTTGGGCAAGACACTTAACCCCACTTTGCCCGAAGCCCCCACTGAAAGATCAAGGCTATGCTCACACTCAGAGAGCAGCCGTCCTCCTGTGGACTCACCACCTGCAGAGGGTCAGTGAGGGGCTGGTGCTATGAGACTTGGGTGGCATCTCTGATTGCCACCCCCCTGACCCAGGAATTGGATTAAAGGTTAGAAAATGGATGGATGGATGGAACATATACAAGGTCAACAAACCATCACCCGGACTGCAGTAGTCTGTGATGAGGAATTCCCAGTTAATTAAACCTGACCCTGCTGCTGCACAGAGCAACAGATACATATTTTTTGTATCTGAATCAAGAGTGTATGAGTTCATGTACAACACGTCTATGGACTGCTCTTGTGAAGTGTAACCCAGTAGAGAAAATGGGTCATTTTCTCTTTCTTTTTCTGTATTTATGTATATGTACTTTTATTTTGAAAAGAGGAAGTGTACGGAAGCTTATTGCATTCACTTGAATTAAAAAAAGTTTCTGTTTTTATGAGTGAGGTTTCGGTTTTTATGAGTAAAGTTTCTGTTTTTATGAGACAAATAAATCCTGTTTTTATGACTTAAAAAAAATCCTGTTTTTACGAGACAAATAAATCCTGTTTTTACGAGACAAATAAATCCTGTTTTTACGAGACAAATAAATCCTCTGTTTAATTAATGACCTGACCAGCGTGATCAGCTTGATCACTCAGTAGGCTTTTTTATCAACAAAGTAATACGAGCAAACGTGCACTTTTAGGAAACTTCTTAAACTTCAAATCTGCTATCCACAGCCTGGACTCGTAGTTAGCCATTAGCTTATCATAAAGAATTATGATCATAACACTCTCCTTCCAGCCATACAGCCAACCGTTTCCATGAGTTGTACAACCACGGTCCGCACAGAATGGCCCTCATGTATGAAACTTTCGTAAGGCCAAATTCAGGTGTAAATTATGTACGCAAAAAATTTACACTTTTCGGTATTTATCAATCTGGACGTACGATACGCACAGAAGCTACACCAAGTCAGAAGGTAGTGTACATTTTATACCCATCTCATTCATCACGACACGGCAAAACACGCGTGAAATGCAAGATTTGGACAACAATAAACAAATTCCCACTCTGGCAAGATTTTAGGTACACCTCTCACATTACAAATATGCAATTTTACGAAGTTATATTAGGGCTAGTTTGTGTTATTAAATAACGTGCAAGATGTCAAACTCTAAAGACCCTGCGCTCATTCACCTCAGGCAAAGCAATGTGGGTTTTCCTTAGTTTTGTGCATAAAGCCCCATAAATGCACCTGATCTTGCTCAAAACTATCTCAGCCAC